CACTAATGTAATATGAAATTTTAGTAAAAATTTATATCATCATCAGTTTTAGTTGATAGAAGGCTATAATTCCAAGTTTGAGAAAGATGATGCTGGGTCTTTAAAAATTGCTCAGTTTATAAATACCAGATTCAGTCAATGCATGAACTATGCTTATTTTTAAAAGACTGCTGGAGAGGGTAGAAGAAGTAATATTCTACCATGTGTAAAATCAATTCTTTGTTTTGAAATGATGAAACACTTCTTCAATAGAGCCCACATTTTCTGTTTTTTTTCCTCTTCCTTTTTCTTTCTTTCTTTTTTTTTTTGCATAGATATGCATGTCTCCAGAGAAGATGAAAGAAAAAGAGGTCTTAAAAATTATGGTGATTTAATTTTATTTTGCCCAAGACTGACATTCTCCTGAGTATTTGTGAAAATGAAGATGAATATGTAGGGATCCATTTGGTTGCTTTTCCGCCAGATGGCCATTGCAGACGCTGAACTAAGCTGAACGAATTGATTCATTTTTACCATATTGTAGGCTGGCATTTACCAGAATTCACATCATTCAAATGTTAACAATTTTGGTGCATTTTTACTTTCTGAAAGATGGCTTCTGCTTTTCTAATTGTTTTCTTCATTCTTTAATCCTTAAGGAGAAAAGCAATTTCCTCAAGCGAACTGTACCCCCTCCATAAATCATCATGAAGATGTAGTGAAACATGATAAGAGGTAAAATGCAAGAGACAATCACACACAGAATGCAGTTTACAGGTCTTCTGCCAAAGAAGTTTCTTTCAGAGTTGAAAAAGCATTGAGATAGGTGACCTTAACAAATATTCTTGAAAAAAAGATTGCACCAATGTCCTCTCAAAATCCTCTGCTAAAATTGTGAGCAGAATAATAAGTGGATGATTTTCTCCTCCTCCTTCTAGAATGGGAACACTTCTCCCTCCAATATCTCCGCCCCATTTTTTTCTGACATGCTCTTTTCTTTCTCCCAAGCAGCAGACTACAGAGAAGAAAGAGGCAGTGCTTAAAAAAGATGATCTCTTCAACAAAGAAGAGCCGAGGTGGCACAGTGGTTAGAGTGCAGTACTGCAGCTACTTCAGCTGACTGCTAGTTCAGCAGATCAGCAGATCAAATCTCACCGGCTCAAGGTTAACTCAGCCTTCCAACCTTCCGAGGTGGGTAAAATGAGGACCCAGATTGTTGGGGGCAATATGCTATTTAGTATACTGTCTTTGCTGTAAGCCGCCTAGAGTCCTCGGAGAGGGGCGGCATAGAAATATGACTAATAATAACAACAACAACAAAAATGAAAATTAGGTTGAGGGCTCCATGAAATTAGCCAGAAGCTTGCATATTTCTTTTATTTATCTCTAAGGAAATGCCTAAAAGATGGGTGATAGATGTTCTTGAAAGCTAAGTTCATGCACTAGGCATCCCTGGATGACTCATAGATATTAATTCCAATAAAATAATGGGAATACCCTCATGCAGTTCTGACCATTCAGTCCACATTCTGCCTCTCAATGAACATTCTAAATAAGTAACGCATTAGGGTTGTGTAAGGAGTGGTTCAAAACAAGGAAGCTTCAATGGAACCAGATTCACAAATCATGATCTAGACTCACTTCTAATCAAGTGGCTTCTTTTCACAGCTTTTAAAATACTTTGCAGAATAAATGGCTTTTTTTGCCATTTCAGTAAACAATATTATAAATTCACTTTCATATATGTAGAATACCAATGTTGCATATACTGATATATGACATTGACTTGAATAGTTGGACAGGTTTTATAACATCATTAAATTGTCCTCTTATAAATGATCTTTTAGGATGGCAGACCTAACAGTACTTTAGTCTTCATTCATTTCCTCAGCTCAGTTTCCAACTTCTTTGACCACCCATAAGCCTTAACTTTGCTGTTTCTTTTGGTAACAGAATATTATTACACAACTTGAAGTTCAATTCAGCTATTTGCACTCTGAACATGGGTTTAAGTCTGATATATACTTCTTGTGAATATAGCCTATCTACCAACCCCTTATGCCAGAATGCTAGTAGACATACAGGCAAGAAACAGTTACATTTTGGGTCACTTATAGGATCAAATACTCTGCCGGAGGTGGTAGAAAATGGTCATTTTGGTCATTTTAAAGCAAAAAGCAAATTGTGGGAATAGTCCACTCAAGATTATGTACTGAAATTGGGAAAAGTACTACCATGTTTTCCTGAAAATAAGACCCTGTCTTATATTTTTTTGAACCCTGAAATAAGCGCTTGGCCTTATTGCCACACACCCAAAAGCCCAATTTGGCTTATTATGAGGGGATATCTTATTTTGGGGAAAACAGGGTAGTGTAATATAGCCCTTCATAGATTCTGATTAACATTGGATTTCCAAAAAATTAAGAGAAAGCCCAAGTAAAGGAGAAGAACTTTGGAAAATGGATAATTATGTGGAAATAAATAAAATATTTAGGAAGAAATTGTTCTAGGTCTGATTCCTGAAGTCTGATTCCAGATTGCTGTGTTGTATTAAAATTTCATTTTTTATATTTCTGCATAAAAGCTACAAAATGCTTTTATTTCTACTTTGGGATGCTTTCCAGAAAATATTTTTTTCTCTGTAGAACATTTGTTTAATCTAATTTTTACTAATTTGGAACTCTCTATTCCAACTCCTTTTCATGGAGAACCTGGGATAGTCAATGGCTATTTGTATAGACCAGCATGATCTGGAGATGTGCCCAGTGCATTGTTTTGAATTTTGCAGTTTTCTTAATTTTATATAGCACAGACCATATTGCAATATACATACAGATAATTATACTAATTATTTTTTTAATTTCCAGAAAGGGAACACAAAGTGTGAAAGTTCTATATCATAGTCCAAGGCCAAGAAGTAGATGTCTCCTGGTAGATAGATGGTAGCAGTAGGAATTTTAATTTTAATATTTTTAATACTCAAAGTTTAAATTTGTTTTAAATTGATTGGGGTTTTAATCTGTCTGGGCCAAACTATTTAATTTGATTTTATTTCTGCTTTTTAAATTTTGTATGTATGTATTTTATTGTTGGCTGTTCACTGCCCTGAGTCCTTCAGGAGTAGGGCGGTATACAAATCAAATAAAAGTAAAGTAAAAGTACTGAGACACTGTCCCAAGGCAGAAGGTATGAAAACCAGGGGACTCCTGAGAGAAGAAAAGTGAAACCTTCAGTATTCTCTATATAGGCTTAAATGCCTACTACAGATTTGTTGCATCTAACCAATATGTACTTTGGGATAAATTTTGTGTGATTGGAGCAATAATGAGTGAGTAAGTGTCAGGGTAATATTATAGTGGCTGGCCCAAACATTTACTATTTTTTTAAACATAGGGATGTATGGCTATGTATGTTACTTTTACCTCTGCCAACCTTGTGCTTTGTGATTTGCCTATTTCTGTGGCATTGAATTTCATTGTGCCAACTTGCTTCTGCTTCCATTGCAAGTCAATTAATTAGCGTAGGTAGGCCAACTAGCTGTAAATTTGATAGCATGAACTTTTTCCAATGATGTAGAAGTTCTTCTCAGGTTGGTCAGGTTTGTTAATTGGCCATGTTTATTCCCTTATGACCCCAGAAAGTTTAGGTTTAGAAGCAGCAAAATATACTGTCCTACAAGAACAAGCCAATGTTTATAATTCAGTATCATGAGAAGCCTGGAAAGTGAATGAAGAAATAGGAGATTACTTTTTAAACTGTTATTCAGTGTTTTTATTTTTAAGTCGGAGTAGGACACTTTCATCACTGGTTCCACAGTATTTATGGTCTTTGTAGAAGCAGTGGTGGTGCAGTGGTTAAAATGCAGCATTGCAGGCTACTTCTGCTGCCTGCTGGCTGCCTGAAGTTTGCCAGTTTGAGTCTCACTGGCTCAAGGTTGACTCAGCCTTCCATTTTTCTGAGTTCGGTAAAACGAGTACCCAGATTTTTGGGGACAATATGTTGACTCTGTAAAACCACTTAGAGAGTGCTGTAAAACATTGGGAAGCAGTATATAACTCTTCAGTTCTACTGCTATTGTTGGCCCTGATATCTCTCCTCCATCTATGTAATCTCTGTGTTACAAAAGAATCAGGAGCAATATTTTGAAAATTATTGTGGTGAAACTCTTGAAGAATCCGGCTAAAACTTTATATAGTTAATATCCTCCAAAGGATCTATTATCCTTTCATATTTAATCCAATTATGCTCCAAATGAAACAGCTTTAGGCATTTTGATGCTTTTCCACTATGATTAATGAATGACCTTTCCTTTAAGTGAAATCTTAAATTTTAAAATGTCTCAAATAAAATTAGTTTGCTCTTAAATTGAAATCTTGAATTGAATCATTCCTTCTTAATCTTACATCACAAATTCATAAAATCTACCTTCTTCTTATCAAGTACATTTATATCATACTTAATATACTTTTATTCCCATCTATATATCTATTATTTTGGAGATTTTTAAAAAGAAGATCCTAATATATTTTATTTTATTCTGAGTTGCAATACTGTATTTTAAAATTATTTTAGTTGTGGACTATAAGTTCCAATGGTACAAAAGATAATGTTCCTTCTTAAAAACAGTTGTAGAATTTTTGAGGGAAATTATGAAGCTGGCCTTGGTTGGAAACAGAGATGTCCATGGAAGAGTATAAAGGAAGGCAAGTAACAAATATGTATCATGACTCCACAATGTAAACTTCATACCTTAAGTAAAGGCATACAATGTCGCAACAGAAGCACCAAAGAAGTAGTTTGTATTGTTAAGGTCCATGCTTTATCATTTTTTTTTGTCATTGTAGTTGGAAACAGACACCTATAGCTAAAAATTGAATGTTAGACAGAAGGTGCAAACTAGTAGTACAGTCTTTAATCTTTATTACTTCCCTTTGTAGAATTGTAAAGAGCTACAACAACATGGAGGAAGAAATCCCTGTGAATATGACCCATAATTTTGCCATTTTATAGTATTTTCTTTTGTGCTTGCTTCAGCAGCACATATCCTAAAATTGGAACCATACAGAGAAAATTAGCATGGCCCCTGTACAAGGATGCCACACATATATATATATATATATATATATATATATATATGTATGTATGTATGTATGTATGTATGTATGTATGTATGTATGTATGTATATGTATAATGTTTCTCATAGTTGAATTGAAGTCAGCAGGCCATTTTGCTTGACTCTACTTGCTCAGCTGGAAGAAGCAATAAAAAACCATGTCAGTAATACACCAAAAAACTTATAAGGCCATGTCCCCAAGTTCTCAGCTCAGCTTGAACAAGTTTCAGTTGGTAAGATAATTTATGGCAGCCCTCATAGGGAAACAAAACAGCATTGTGCCTATCTTACTATTAACTGGTCTTTAGAAAGTGGTGAACAATGTGATATCTATATACAGTGGCTAGGAGAATTTTTTGCATTTAGAATCCAATGGCCTAAAATGTTTTCAAAAGCAGAATTATGTATAAATTCAGTTTGTTACTATTGTAGCTTTATTCCAACTCTTCAGTACCTTTGCAGACTGAAGCTTGAGTTTGATAATAGAAAGCTTCTCAGTAATTACGAAGTAAATCTTAGCAATGTTACAGTGTCTGAGAAATCCATTACATAATCAAAATAAAACAAAAAGTAGCATTACCAGACTGCTTGTGAAACAAAAACAAGTGTTTCCTACTTGTAATTGCTTGCCTGTTTTCTTCTTCATTTCAGCTGATGGAACAGGTTTACTTACAGATTTGTTTGTGCTCTTGATCTCATGCATGGAAGTTTCACATGTGCATCAGAAATGGCAGTCCAGATCAGAACAACTGAACAACAATCATGCACCTACTTATACACACCTCAAGTCACTACAATAAAATCACAATAAACTTCCATTTAAATATCTGGTTTCAACACATTAATCATAAATTAGCAACATACAACATGTAAGATTAAGATATGGCTGGCTAGTTTGCAGTTCAGCATGTTATGCAAAACCGACTACAGAAAAGCTACTTAAACTGAAAGAGATTAAGGTCATAAAAACAACTGTAGGACTTCAGTCTATGCAATCCATGTGTGCTGCCCATATTACTTGCAAAAAAAAAAAAAAATCTGGAATTTTCCTAAAACAGACTGAGAGGAAAATTCTGAAAGGGTTTAAGACTATCTCCAGCATCTTAAAGAGATACCACCAAACTACCAATTAGCAGGGCTATTATTTCCAAAGGTACTATAGATAATGTTGGGGAGCTTTTCTGAATTTGACTTTCATGCAATTTAGTACAAAAGAACATTTTTATCGATAAAGCATTTGGCACATACCGTACAGTATATATAGGAAAGCTGATAAAGGAAACATTGATTTCATATTTTCATATAGGACTGATTAATATAAAGACCAACATTTTTTTTAATAGTCTATCTTACATCAGACCAGACCCCAGCCTATAAAATCAAAAGAGATTAGAAAGAATATTTATTGACCTAGATACTTATATTAACTGATCTGATCCGATAATTATTCCAAGCAGGGCTTACAGTTCTTACAATATATGATAACATAACATGCTTTGAGTCTGTAAAGAGATAACTCATTCACATTGGCCCTTGTTTTTAGGTATAGGGATCTGTTGGGAAAAGAATATGGGTGGTTTTTCTGGTCCCACCAGAGGAGAAACTTATCTAATGTGGTGAATAGCATGTGTGCATATATGCATGAGTTATAAAGATAAGTAGGATGTTCTTTTATTTTCTTAAAGAAAAAATGCAAGGATGCATGCAAATTCATTTTTATTTTTCATTATGTTCAACTTTTTTTTAAAAAACCTGCAAACTTTCAACTAAGAGGATTTGTGATTTGTAGCTCAGATTTTCTTTTTTTTAAATGAAAGGATGCAGAGGTATTGCTTTGTATTTAATCTAAATCCCAGAGTCTTATAGAACATGAAAGCCAAACCCATTTATAATGTCATAAGCTTTTGGATACTGTAGTCCACGTATTCAGATAGACATATGCCATCAGGTACCACCAAAAACTTGTCATTTCTGTTTGCTTCTTTCTTTTCAAAAGAAAGTCGTTTCCAACAGATATTCTTTAACCTTAACCTTAACCTTTTTGGTATGATTTTAAGATTTCTGGCATGGGAAACCAAGCTGGAATATTCAGAGACAAAATTAACATATGTCTGAATTGTAATTAATTGTAATTAACAACAGAGCTTTCTTAGATTTCCATAATATCACTGTATTCTAGTGATAAAGTACTTTAGGTGGATAAAACAAGAGCAACATCAATAACCATTATAATTTGGGGTGACTGAGCACACAGTAATATGATTTTCTAGAAATTAGAGCAGACAAAAAAGTATACAAATGAAGACATTATTTCTTTTAGAGTAGTGTGTGCAGTCCAATCCTATATAGATCTGCTTGGAAGTTAAGTTATATTACATTCAATTCCTAGTTAACTATACACAGTATAGTCCTGGACCTAAGCTATTTTTGCTTTCCACTCTACATTTTTTTAATTCCTACCCACCATTTTTAATGGAGTAAGAATCAATCTACCTGAAATTTACTTGTGTACCTGAAAAATTATTTCTACTCACTTAATCAGTGGCTAATTAAAAATCAAAGTTCTTTGAATATTTACATTTTTTGTTGCATTTGGTGCATCTATTAGAAATGAGTAATAAATAAAAGCAAAACTGATATTTTAGTTTTCTAGTGTTATATCTTTCTCTTTTAAAAGAAGTTTTTAATTGTGATTCTTACACAGTTCCAAAGAGTAGTATTGCAGTATTTATGTAAATCCATTTTATTATTAGATACTTCTATTGTTCAGATATTTATAATAATATTTTTTACAATACGTTTTGCTTTTGTCATGCAAAACATACATTATATATTTGCTATTTTTAAAATAATTATGCATAATCCATGCTATGTGCTCAAAGCCTTTTCAAAAGAATTTCTTGGAGATATTAAAAGTAAGTTAAAAACCTGTTTGAATCAATCTTAATTCCTAAAATGTACATGTTTTTCTGGCAATAATGTAGAAGGTTTGCCATTTCTTTCTTTTGGTATATTTCTTTAACAATTCCTAGTCTTATTTATTGTCTTTCCTGATGGTCCTCATTCAAGCACTAACCAGATCTAACCTTCCTTGGTAGTAAAGATTAATCAATGACAATATACTGTAGAACAAAGCATAGTTCCTTCCTTCCTTCCTTCCTTCCTTCCTTCCTTCCTTCCTTCCTTCCTCCCTCCCTCCCTCCCTCCCTCCCTCCCTCCCTCCCTGCCTCCCTCCCTTACTTACTTTTTTTCAGGGATGAATCTTAAAATGGCATTTCTCCTTATTGAACATTGAACTACATACTGGGACAGTTCTCACAAGGTCAGAAACAAATAGAAAGGCAGGTAGAAATCATCTGTCCTGTCAAAAATGAGGGGCTTCAATTCATTAAATCATACTGGTGGGTTTCATTAGCTTTTCTATACAAAGTCAGAAACTTTGCATACGTGAATACCTTGTATGCCTGCCCCCAGCCTAATATCGTCAAGATAAGCCTTACAATGCAACTGCCCCATGAGTAGTCTGAAATATTCCTGCAAAAAACCCATGATTTGATTTTATTGTTACTGGTGACTGAGTCACTCAGTCTTTCTTTATCATGTGCCAATTATTCTTTAATATAGCTGTTCTTGATCTTCTTCATTGGTTGGTTTACCAACCAATTTTAAATAGAAAATTGTTAAAATGCATCCCAAGGTTTTATCTCCCACTATAAATTGTTTGGAGGACACTTGCACAATAATACAGAAACATGATACACAGATCAATATGTTAAAAGTAGATGAAGCAATGAAGTCTGATTTGCACTTTCTCACTGAAAAGGTATGGACCAGATTTGAGATGGGTTGACTGGGATAAGGTTAAAAGGGAATGGGTAATATATCCCACCAGTGGATAACATTTTGTTAGCTTAAACTTTGAAATAAAAACTTGCTTTCTTTTTTAAAAATAATTTTATTGAAGTTTAAAAGAGATAAAAAAACTACTACAAACTAAAGAAAGAGAAAAAAAGAAAAGATGAGAAATGCAGAGAGAAAAAAGAAGAAAGGGGGAAAAGGGACAAAGAGACAAATCTATTTATTTATATAAAAGAAATTACCCCCCTCCTCTCAAGACAAGTACCAACAATTTCTGCAACTTAACACCTTCAGTAACATTTCAACCAAAAATATCTTCATCCCATATCCCATCTTTTATTTATTAGCAAAGCCTCATAATCAGGTGTGAAATCTACTTACCTTCCCTACCGATTCGGAAGTGCATGTACATCCCATTTTCGGCCTCCATGCGTCCCATTTTCAGCCCCCACACATCTCATTTTCAGCCTCCGTGCACTCATTTTCAGCCTCTGTATGGCCATTTATGGCCTCCACGCGTCCCATTTTCGGCCCGTTCCAGGCGGCAGGGATAGGCAGCGGCAATCCACGCTACCTGGAATGGGCCAAAAACAGGGTGTGTGGAGGCCAAAAACAGGATGTGCAGAGGCCGAAAATGGGGCACACAGAGACGGCTATAGGTGCTGGTGACAGCGATGGGTGACGACAGTGGTGGTGATCCCCACAGCCTGGAACAGCTGATCAGCATATTCTGGGAGACAGAATACTAATCAGCTGCTTGTGCTAAATCAGGTTGGGCTGAAGCTGACCAGGCTGTTTGCAGTTTGCTGCAAGGAGGCAAATTGCTGGGAGTCAGAGGCAGATTTTTCTTGTTTTCCATTCCAAAAGCTAGGTGCGCCTTATAGTCCGAAGCGTTTTATAGACCAAAAAATGCAGTAATTCCTGTATTTTAAATCTATATCCAAATAACCTTATTCTCTGCTGAATTCTCTTCTACTCTCTTCTTTTGAACCCAGTTTTATATGATCAATCTAAAGGGAAAGTAAGCAAATTATTCTTAGGAATCGGCACGAATGATTGAATGATTAATGTTCAGTTTGGAGTAAGTTCCAGTCATACAACCTGTATCTTTTCAATGATGGAGGTGATGGGGACTGAAGCAGTTGTTAGGCAGGCC